AAAAAGAGAAGAAGAGTCAGAAAGTTTCGGCGAAAAAATTGATTTGGGTTTTGACTAAGAAAGGCTGCCGAGGATACAGAGAATTGTTGGGCATTTATATATAGAAATTTTTGCTGAAGCTTTTGTTGTGCCAAAGGGCAGACTAGAGAAAAGGTGTGTGTTTCACGGCTCTTTGTATGTGAGAAAAAAGCCTTTAACCACCGGTCCACCACCAACCATGTTTATAATGGGCTGCACACTTCATTAAACGAATAAATTCAACAAGAACTTTTGCACTTTGCAACAACCAAGTATAATTTGTTAATATAGAACACTAAACAATAATATCCTCATTACATTTATGCAAGCCTAAACTAAATTACATTTAAGTATCCTCGTTACATTTAAAAAGTCCTAAATAGACCATAATTATACTGATGTTAGTCAAACCACGTTATTGAGAAAATATTTTTTTTAATGAAGTGTCAGACATAATTTAAAATATATTTTAGCATAAATGAAAATGGCAGTTGAGAGTATAATAAAAAAAATTATTTAAAAATCTATGATGAGTTTACTAGCATAATATTTAGGTCACCTCGAATTAACATTTGTACTCTTGGTTAACGATGTTGGGGAACAAAATTAACCATCAACCATATATAATTTAGCATTAAACAAGAATAATATCACAATAGTAAAATATTGTTGTTGGGTTACATAGACTTGTTGTATTATTTTGATAAAAAAAAAAGTACCTAAATTGTCGTATGTTACACTTAAAGCTCTTTTCAAAGTAGTTATGGTTGGAATTAACATTGCGAAAATCATCGCTTTATTCCAAGAAGATTCATATCAAATAATTGAAAATCTAATTAGATAGTGGAAGCGTACCTTAAATAGATTTATGGATCCAACCACCATGGAACATGACTTGAATCACAAACACATCCTCAATTACGAACGGTGTCGGTTTTATAGTCTTACTCAACTAAATCGCCTTATTCCTCATATGGGACCGTCAATTCATTCTCAATTCCGATGGAGAGAAAAGAGAACTATGTTTGATTTAAGTGTGTTGGGACTATAACCAATAATGACATGGTAGGTATAATGCAATCTATACCTTAAATCAAACACACTTATTGGTTATGGTCCCAATACACTTAAATCAAACACACTTATTTTAGGCGGGATTTTAATTTCTTTTTCAAGTTTGGCATTTACTTGAAAAAGAAACTAAAATCCCGCCTAAAATTTTTAAAATTACTAAATTTGAATTTTTTTTTGAAAATATCCCGCCAATAGAGCTTTAATTTTGAATTTAAAAAATATTTTGATTTTATTTTAAGGTTTTTTTTTATTATGGAAACATGTTTAACTATTAATTTCAATATAAACAAATATTCTCCCTTACCATATGTCATAGCCGCAATATTCCATATCTATTGCAATTAATATTACTCAGCCACAACATTCCATATGTGAAAATGAAAATAGATATCCTCATTAATATTATGGAGGAAATCCGAGGATGTGATCTAGACCAATTTTTTGACTTTGTTTACCATTTCTTACTAAATTCCTATTTGCATTTTCCAAATTTCAATTATCGAAAAATTGATTATCTCCTTTATTGCCGATGAGAGCTACAAACTTGTAGACGATGATCAGATTTGTTTATTTAACTAACCAATCATTCATATTGATGTGTAAATTATCGCATAAAACTACAATACGCGTGATCGTAGAATGAGGTGCTCTTCAATTTTATTTTGTTTTTTTATATGTTTGATTTACTTTTCGTAAAGAAGATGGAATTACTCTTCAAGATGCCTAAAGTAAATGTTATTGTACATTCCATTATTTTCAAAATAATTTATATCGATCTATATATATATATATATATATATACATAAAGGTTGGTATTTACTGAAATAGAAATTAAAATCCTGCCTACAATTTTTAATATTACTATTTTTTTTATTTTAAAAAAATCCCACCTCTATAAATTTATTTATCAATTTATGGCATAAGGTTGCCAAAATTAATAACTAAAATTTTGGTATAAAGTGGAAGATTTTATTTGAGGTATATGATGATCATTTTTATTTGATATGAAATGTGTTGTTATTAATAGATGTACGAATTTATGGTGTAAAGTGGACAATTTTGGTATAAAATGTATGAATTTTAATGGTATAAATTTTATTTGGTATGTATAAAAGTGTATTTGAAAATTTTGAAAACAATGGTATGTATTTTATTTGGTATAGTAGGAAAGTCGAATATTAGGTTGATTTGTTATAAAATCATGGTGATATGAGTCTCAAATTTTAGTATATTCTCATAATAACTTATCATAAGATATTGATGATAATTCGACAAATTGGTATGCATTCCTCTTAAAAATCATAAAAATATTTGTAAAATACTGGTTAATAAAATTTAAAAGTTTTTGTAATTTAATTCTAGAAAATTAGTTGATAAATATGAACAATAAGATAACCGACAACAAATCTAGAAAATTGCGAGATAAGCTATATATAGCTATGAAATATATACAAAAATTATTGTGTAGCCTACATTTGGTTCCAAAATTTAAAAGTCAAATAAGTAATTATTCTTGACTTACGGGTCATTATTAACTTGAACGTAAATAGAATAGTCAATTATTTATAATTTAATAAATTACTCAGCTACTTAATTTTTTTTTTATTTGGATAGTTTATACAAAAATAAAATTATTTTAATTAATGAACAATAAAATTTTATAATTATACTTATTAATCACATATATTTTTAAATATATGATAAAATTTTATTAAAATTATTATTTTATGGAATCACATTGTAGTCAAATCGAATTTCTTGATAAAAAAATTTAAAATGACACTTATTTTGAAATGAATACAATATACAGGATGTGTACTAATTTTAAATAGACATGTTTTATGTAATTTTGCACAATTTAAATTTTATATAACATTTTCAATAAATTAATATAGGTAAATTGTATTACATATTGATTTCATAGTTTTAATTTATAAATATTACTTAATGAGCATTTTTAATTTATAAATATTAATGAATATCTCTTACCCGTGCATCGCACGAGATTTGTACTGGTGTTATTTGATAGGAATGTAATGAGTTGAAGAATGGAATAAATATGAGAAAAGAATGAAACAAGTTTTGTCTTTGATGTGTTTGGTATGCAGAAGGAATAAGTCAAGAATGAAATGACATTATCATTCTATATCATCATTTATCACTATTTTATAGAAAAAAATTAATATTTATATTAATGTTATTTTTCTTATTTATGTTAATAATAAAATTATTTTGTTTCTTAAAAAACCTACTATATATTAATACATATATTTTTGTATAGTTAAACTCATATATATTATATAATAAATTAGTGAATTGTGTATTCATGTACCTATTGACTAATACAAATATATCATTAATTATGAATACATATATTATATATCATTAGTGAATTGTGTATTCATGTACCTAATTTAATTTATGAATACATATATTATATATATATGATGTATAAAATATAAAATTTATCTTTTTAAATTATTATAAATGAATTTTTTTAGTTTTATTTTTATATAAGTATTTAATATATCTACTTAAAATATAAGCATCAAATGAAAATAAGTTTTAAAATTTTTTATTTGAAATTTATTTTGTAAAATTATTTTATTTAGCATAATTTAATCATGATTTATAGTATATTTATATATTTATTTTTTATTATTATTTGCTAATTTTATATTTTAAAAAATTGATTCCTACAAATAGGGAATGAAAAAACCTTGCATTAGTTATGGAATGACTAATCCCATGGACATGGGTTTTGCAATTCTCATTGGAATGACCATTAATTTTTTTTTTAAAAAAAATATCAACCATGGGATATGGAATGAGTAAGGAAATGATCATTTCATTCTCATGTCATTCATCATACCAATCATGTCATAAGATCTTTATATACTACTAGTACGCCACCCGCACGTTGTGCGGACTGGTTTTAAAAGAGGTCTGGTATTAAAGAGTGCGACTGAAGTATATCTAAATTCTCCCTATATGTTAATTCAGAACGTGCTGAGCTTAAGTGGCAGGCTCGCATGCTTCGGGATCCTATGTAGCAAAATTACATGCTTCGTTATTAGGTTTGGTAGGTTTTAATTTACTTCCAAACCAAAAATAATTAGGTTCGGATTATCCATAAATATGTTGATTATTTATGGTCGTATTACATGTATTAATTGCATTTTAATATCATTTCTTATTATAACCATTGAATTGTAAATATATTTTAAAAGTTAATAATTTTTGTATTTTTTATCAGTTTTACATAGATAATATATCAAATTAATCATTTCTTGATGAGCTTCGATTTAAGATCCATATTGTATGTATAAAAAAATAAATTACATTTATCTTTATAACAATAATATATTATTTTTTAATATTCATTAGAAAAATAAAATTATTTATCAAATAATATATTTATATTTCAAGTAGTTATATGATATAAGTTATAAAATTACTATAATATAACACATGTAAGTCGCACAAGTAACAAGTGTCATTCTAAAAAATATAATAATATATATTTTTTGTAAAGAGTAAATAAATTTACAAAAATCTGCTGCCTTTTTCAGTAAAAATACTCCACCACAGCTTCAGCACCTTATCTGCAATACTTTGAATGGGATTGTAACTCACAAATCAACAAGATATTTGGGACTCCCTCTAGGCATTGGAAAGTCAAAGAAAGAAGTATTTGATTACCTTCTTACCTCTGTCAAAGCCAAATTGACCAGCTGGAAAACAAATCTCCTTAGCACTGCAGGGAAAGAAGTGTTACTCAAGGCAGTAGTGCAAGCACTTCCTATCTTTACAATGTCCTGTTTTAAAATTTCCCTTACTCTATGTTCAGAATTGGCTAAACTATGTGCAGAGTTTTGGTGGAAATCAGG